ATGTTGGCTAAGGAAAAGGAAATTGCAACACTGGCTTCTGGTCTAAGCAGGAGACGTAATGACTTCTTGTCCTGATGCAGTGACAAGTTGTTTCTTTCTAGTATCGCAGTGTAATAGTGGAGTAGATGAGAAAAAACAGTAAATATTCAGGGCAACTACAGGTAGTCCCCAGTTTAAGAACGAGTTCCGTTCCCAAAGTTTGTCCTTAAGTCGAATTTGTATGTAAGCCAGAACAGTATTATTGTATAATACTGTATAAATAGTATTGTGTATTTAACTCAAATTTTGCTACAATAGGCTTCATTCTTAACTATGGGTCATCCTTAAACCGGGCATTCTTAACCCGGGGACTACCTGTATATATTTTTGTTTCTGCAAAGCTGCTAGTGACAAAGTAAGGGAAGCTGTAGGTCAGGACTTTGTCCAGAATTGAACAGTGTATATTTTATATCTATCATCCTATTAACTGTAATATTTACCAATCCAAACATAAGAAAATTACGGCCAGGATTGCAAAGGCTGAATGCAAGTGCTCTTTTTTTTCCCCCCTTCAGCTTTTTAGCTGAGGCTTGTCAATACTTGGAAGAACACATTCAAACAGAGGGGCTCTTCAGAAAATCTGGATCAGTTGTTCGCTTAAAAACCTTAAAGGTACAAGATTCCCATTCTGCTTTATTTTTAACACCTTTGATGTGTTGACATTGAAGTGCTTAATGTTGCTGTGCGCTCTTTCTGCAGATTTATGCCAAAACCAAAATACATTGTCTATGTATAGATACCTTGAGTCACACAGTAGACTTGAGCTTTTTTCCAGGCTCTTCATTGCCATTTCTCAAAGTATGTTGTTTTCTCTATTGACAATGTTTATTTTCTCACCATTCTTAGAATAAACTGGACAAAGGTGAAAATTGCCTATCCAGTGCATTACCATGTGATGTCGCAGGACTTCTGAAGCAGTTCTTCAGAGAATTGCCTGAGCCCATCCTCCCGTATGACCTGCAAGAAGCTCTTATTAAGGCCCAGAAGTTAGACAGGGAGGAGCGGAATTCTGCCACACTGCTCATCTCGTGTCTTATGAATGACAGAATAATTGAAACCCTCAGATATTTCTTCCAGTTTCTCAAAAAAGTGTCTTTAAGGTAAGCTGCAGATTTCATGAAGATTTTGCTTTTGATCTGCCCTCTGTTATGTGCCTACAATGGTACTATAGCAGTTGTGAGAACCATGTGGAGGTTTAGAGTATTTTCTGCTTTTGAATTGGAAAGTTTTCTGATGCCCTGAGCTAATCAGAGTTTGATTTTGAGACTTATTTTTTAGCAAGCAAACATTTTTCAAAATACATCATATTAATTGTTAAGATATCTCAGTTTAACTATTTCTAGGTGATTGAAGAAAATTCATTAGGAAAAAATAAAGTCAATACTTTAAAGATTTATTTACAACTGGAAGTTCTTTTGCTTGATTTCTTAGAGAAAGTGATAAGTTGGAGCACAAAATGGATTTATTTCATTAAGGTTAAAATATATAATTATTTCTGGTAGCTCTTAATGGACTTTCACTGAGTAGAATTGAACCATGAGTTTTTATAATTTGCTTATTGATAAGAAATGAGTTATGGGAAGAAGAGATCTTTTTTATTATTGAAATATTAGAGAAGGTGTTAAGTTACGAGAGTGGTTTATACTTGTCTGGAGGGAGGGGGGAGTTACTTTTATATTTCTTCTTTTCTTCATGTTTTTCCTTCTCTTTTCTCTCTGCAATTTTCTTTTTCTTTTCCTCACTTTTTATATTTTTTTTTACTTTGTATTCTTTTATCTTTGTGAACTTTAATGAAATTATTATTAAAAAGGAAAAATAATAAAGTGTGCTTAATTTTTAAATGTTAAGCCTTTTATCTAGAAATGTAATACTGTTACTAGCATGCTTGAAAACATATTAAAATAATATGAGTATATAACTGAAGGCATTGTCTGAGAAAAATGACATACTATATGTTATATAACAAAGGAATATTAATAAAACACTTCATTTTAGAAGCATAAAATATTTAGTTGAAAAATATAGCAGTGATAATGGAGAATATATGTTCTTATATAACCTGTTAGAATACTCCTAGGCTTTATACTGTTTTCTCCAAGAAGCTCAGAGAAGATTACCAACACTTAAAAAGTAAGAAAAATAGCCAACATTCCTATTATTCCACCTGTTCCCATATCAAAGAAGCCTATTGCAGGAAAGTCTTTCCTAAATCCAGTTCAAGTTTCCTCTCTAATCTCACATAGATTATATTGTAAAATATATAGAAAACATTGGCCTTGTCTTGTGGAAATAATCCAATTTAAAAGCAAAGCATTTTCCAATCTATACCCTTTTTCTTTTGGACCATGAACTATAGTTAGAAGGAAAGCATAAATGAGTAAGTAAATCATGCTGTGATTATTATAATAATATTTCATTCTGAGACTTATCTCTCTGAAATAATTTAAACTTTGAGATTTGCACCAAGCTGTAAGTAACTCCCCCAAGAGTTGCAGATCCTATCCAGGCCTTTCGATTGACTTTCTTGGTGTTTGTTTTTGGGGGGGAAAGGGAGGGGGTCTTCTTTGCACAAGATGGCAGCAAGCTTGGGAAAGCAAATTTGCACCAAGTTTATTGTAGAAATACTAGAGCTTAGTTGCAGTAACTAGTTTGTGAATAAGAGCTCTTCAGCTTCAATGCAACAATGATTATTATATAGATATCAGTTATATCTAAACAAGTAAGAAATCTAATGCTATTCAATTTTTTTCATTGCACAGATCTGCTGAGAACAAGATGGATAGTTGTAATCTAGCAGTAATTTTTGCTCCAAACCTCTTGCAGTCAAGTGAAGTTGAAAAAATGTCTGTACACACAGAGAAGAAACTTCGTTTGCAGGCTGGAGTTCTGCAGACCTTGATCGACCATGCAGAAGACATAGGTAAGGTGATGTGATGTGAGGTAAGGTGATATTATGATGTTGTTTAGTTGTTGTTTTTTCAGCAACGTCATAATTAACTATACCTTTTTCAGGACATATACCAAAGCTTATTCTGGAAAAGATACCATCCATGCTTGGCATTGATTCTGTCTCTACACCTGTGCTCCGTGATGATCAAGAAAGCGAAATTGAAACTCCCTCTGAACACTCAAGAAGGAGACGGCAGAGCATAGGAGGTAATAAGTAAATTGCTTTCTGCAATTGTTCATTATTCATTTTTTTTAAATCTAAGTTTAGAAAAATGCAAATGTTTATCAAGGGCTAAATAAAAAAAACCTAAACATTAAACATTTTATTGCTTGATGTATCTTCAATTTCAGATATTGTTAGTGGAGCTCTGAATAAACTTAAAACTAACAGAACACCCTCCACTACACCTCAGAGAGACCAATGTGGTAGGTATAGTGCATTTGCATGAAGCACTTCATGTCCTCAAGGCTTGAACATTTTAACAAGATTACTGGAATAGTATATGGCAGATTATAATGTAAGCAAGTCAGTGATCCTTGCTTTTATCCTTACATGTGCTATTCCACTGAGCTGAGATTTACACTTAAGACATGGCCTGCTTATTTTTGCTGCATACTAAAGCTTGAGTGCCATATTGTCGTTTGCCATGATAACAGCTAAAAGGGTATTTCAACTGTTATTTCAGGTTGGATTTATGCTTCAAAAGCATTTTACTTCTTATTATATTGCTAATGAGAAGTCTTTCCTTTGTCTTACAATGCATGGCTTTAAGTTCTAATATCTGTAGAAAAATATAAACATGGCAATTGTGGCAATTTTTTTAAATAATAGCAAACAGTATGGAAAGAAATAGAAAATAGAAATATTTTATTTGATTATTTATGCAGTGCTGTATCCTATATATGTAATGTAGTAGTTAATGTGTTGGACTAGGACTGGGGAGACCTTGGTTCAAATCTACCTTTAGCCATGGAAACTCACTCAATGACTTGACACAGTCAATCTCAGCCCAAAATTTCTCACAGGGCTGCTGTTGTGCAAATAAATGGAGATGCTCATGTAGGCCAACTTGAGTGCTTGGAGGAAAGGCAGCATATAAACATGTAATTAAACAAGCTTTACAAAATATGGTAAAGCAATATGCACTGGTAGAGAATTTTGGATTGAAAGGGGCCATTTACACCACTAAATCTAACCCCTTGTTCAGTGTAGGAATTCAAATGAAAACATCCAAGACAAATGTCTGTCTAGACTTGGCTTGAACACATCCAGTGAATAAAAGCTCTTCCATTTGTCTGTTTAACTGGACATAATTAAATTTAAAAAGTATAATTAGTTGCAACCCCAATTTTAGCTAATACTGAAAGGAGTACTGTTGTCAATTTTTTATATATTTAATGTGAAAAAATAGATGTTGTAGACTGTTTCAGGTTTTCCACAATTTCCTGTTTTTTCAGTTTCTAGAGTGAGGAGGAAGTTTTGTCTCCTCTCCCCTCCAGTTTTTCAATCTCTTTTTTTCATTGCTGTTCACATCACTAATTGCAGGATGACGCAAATAACTTCTATTTACAACTGTACTACATATACTAACCATTAATAATTTTTATTTTGTATGTTTTCACATAGTAAAATATTTGACTGCCAGATATATTTATCTTTCTTTACAGTCTTTCCGTCAGTGACTCCAGTAATGATTACACCAAATTTTAAGCGTAAATATACTGCTGATTCCTGTCAAGGCTTCTCTAGCAAGAAAAGGCGATCTGTTGGGCATAGCATGGGTCTTGAAATGCTACCAAATAGCCTTTTTAGCATTAGCTCAACACCTGGATCAGGTAGAGTGAAAAATATTCAACAATGTTCTCGTTTAACTACAACAGTTCAAATTCCTATCTCTTTGCATACTTCTTTTTTACATACAACAATGCATAAATGTTCTGTGTGAACAGCACTACTATGACATATTCTTTCTTTATTCCTTGCATTGCCTAATAGCATTTACATAACGTTCATAGCAGTTCGTATTCTAATTTACAGCTGAATGACAGTTGGGTGTTACATCACTGAGGAGACATTTCACTGAACTATCTACATCTACTAATATGAAGGCTCTGTGGAAAAGGCAGTTTCCATTATTAGAAAAGAACAAGATTATAAATTTTCAAGTACTCTTGAAAATCTTGAACCTTTGAAGAATAATTTGGATTCTTAACATGCTGTTCTTTGTGGCACAAATTCCTAAATCTGTTTCAAAAAGTGATCAAGAATTGAACTGACCATGAGGATAATCCATTATATTCCATAATATAAATTGCAGCCTTTCAGGACTGTATTGGCAGGATTTAGACTGATACATCACCACCTTGTTGGTATTACCCAAGGGAAGGGGCTTAAACAGAACAGTTTCAGGCATTCTGAGCCACTGCCCAACTGTCTTTCCCATAGGAATGTACTGGAGAAATTTTTCGGGATTTTTTTCCTCTGCAATCCCCAGCCAGATCCAGCCCATTTTTAACATGATCTTTCTTTTGTCAACTTTTCCTCCAACACCAAATTTGGTTCAGTTCTGTTTATTTTTCAGAAGTTTATCCTCCTGATGGAGGTAGACATTCTTTCTTACATTCAGCTGAGTTGGAAATAATAAAAACTAAAACTGCTATTAATATTATTAATACAATCTGTGGGATGGTTACCTTTAGAATATTGTAAAAAGAATATATTATCTCTATGATCGGAGGTGGTACAACTCAATACCAATTGTGGTTATAATCTGAAAAATGCTATTGCATTTGCATCTTGCTTGTAGGCTTCTCATAGCCAACTGTGGCTGTTGTTTGAATAGATTTTTGGACTAGATAAGCTTTTGGTTTGACTAAGCAGAATTCTCTTTATGTTATGACGAGGGAGATGAATATAGGCATATGAAAGTAGACTTTGATTTTAAAAATAGCTATTTTTAAAACATTTTTAAAATGTCATAAATTTGTGGGTTATTTTAATAACTTGTCACCAAGAAGCAGGGACCCAAGAGACATTTTTTTATACAGGAAAATTGTAGTATTCTTAACTAGGACAATTTTAAGATAAGCGACTGTTTTTGTTAATCCTTCAGCTCCATTAGCAGATAGCCCTTCTGTGTCACCGGAGGCATCTCAAACTTCATTATCTACCTCAGCCACTTGTGAAAAATATCTGTCTAATGTAAGAAGTCGAAGAAGCAAAAGGATTGCCAACAAAAAAGTACAAAGGTAAGTTTGTCAAAACAGGCACTTCTGGCACAGAAGGAGTAATAATATGTCATATTTTTTGTGATATTTAAAGATGTTAATAGATTTTATCCTGAACAGTACTAAGTACAATGAGTGAGTCAAATTCTATGGCCTTTGGTTCTTTGAAAGCTACTTGATCGCTTGGTTCCCATGTTATTTTATTATAGTACTTCATATGTTCATTTTCCCTCTGCATATGGATGTTCTTTATTCTTTATTATATTTATGAATGAGTGTACGATCCATGATAAAATAAACAATCTATTTAGAATCCTTTGGCTATGTTCTCAGTTTTAGTATTTGCCTCAAGAAGCTACTGATGCTTGTAAATTAAATGTCTTGGAAGGTTACACTGAAATATCCAGGAGTCAATTGAAAGTTCACTGGTTATCATATGAAAAATAGTAGTCTCGGTTCAATAGTTGACAATAATCTTCTATTATCTACTCAGGAATGGATCTTCCATAACCAACTTTCAGTAGGCTGTTCTTTTTTCCATTTTTCTTATTGTTTTTTATTTTATAATCAGTTTATCTTTAAGGAGTTACTCTCCTTGTAAATTAGCTGACTTTAGAATATCAGTAGTTTAGAACAATATTTTGTCAATTTATCTCTTTCCTTTCAGGGTTGAATCTGGAAAAACAGGTTGCTTTTCTCCTAAAATCAGCCGGAAAGAAGTGGTACGCAGGTCATTACGATTAAAGTTCATTCTTGGAAGAAGCAACAGAGAGGTATTATATATTACCGTGTTTATACTCCTTAATGGAAAAAGTAACTGTTCAATCTCGATGAATTTTCTAATTTGTTAATTTTAATAGTTGCAATTCTATAAACCCCATGTAATATATATACATACACACAGCCACATTACATTACATAACAGCTGGTTATTATTGGAAATTGAAGAGGAAAATAGCAGAGTTTGATTTGATTGTCATCTAGAAATCCACTTTCATAATTTTAGACTAGCAACAATCTTTTGCAGACTATTCTTGTTGGTTTATTATTTGTAATAGAGACTGACAGGTAATTCAATCTATTATGTGATAGAGGATGTATGGTAAACATTCCAAAAATCTTAAGAATTGCTTGCTGACATACATTATCCGCAGGAAGATGTTTGCTGATACTATTTCTCTGATTTAAACTTACTTGCTCTTAATTGTTAGTATTTATCAGTTTACAGTACTTGAATCCTGCTTTCATTCATCTTCCCTTGTCATCATCCTCTTGTTAATGGCCACTGTCTGCTAGTCCATTCTCTCTTATAGTGTGGCTTCCTGTTAGAATTTTTAAGTGCTCTCTGTCTACCATTGTGAGAATGTAGACGAATAGGAGAAGTATTTGATTATATTCCTACAAGCTCAAAATTGAATCAATCCTTTATTTTAAGAATACTGCAGTGGAGCATGGAGATAACAACAGAGGTGAAAACATTGGTCGCCGACTTGCTGGTGAACAAGATAAAGAAAATGGAGTGGAAAGTGTGAAGACTGCAGCACTGTTCAGCCCATATGTTGGTAAGTCTATAATTAAAAAAAGGTAAATATGGTGAAAATTTGTTATAGCAGACCTTAGTACAACAGTCAAAATTTGTAAAATGTAAAATGACATTTACCTAATTTGCATAATGACATTGCTGTGGAGGATGGATAAATGGGAATAGTGGATACTCCCTTCTTCTAATTGGTCCATTAAAATGAGATTTCACTATAATGGCTTATTGATGAAAATGTCAGAGGTTGTTTGCTATCTGTGGATCACAAGTAGCATCTTCACAGTGCAGTTGAGGTATTTAACCACTTAGAAATGGTATAAAAGTTGATAAGCAGTATCACAGAATGTTAAAACACTACTAAGTTATATTTCTGAAACCCCATATCTGACTTATTTATTAAGTTCATATGAAAGAAAAAGAGAACACCTGTACTGCCAATTTTTAAATTACTTTGAGATTTTCAGTAGCAATAGTATTGTGTTGCACTACGTTATAGACTGAGGGTCTAGGGTAAAATATGAACTTTAAAAGTATTATTGCATTTTATATTCCAGACAGTTCTATTTCTATTGCAACCAAGTACTTTCCAGATTCTTAGACCCCAGCAACTTAACTGATGCAGGGAGTTTTCATGGTTATAGCCCACTACGGATAGTCCCCAGTTTAAGAATGAGTTCCGTTCCCAAAGTCTGGCTTAAGTTGAATTCATACGTAAGCCGGATCAGTATTATTATATAATGCTGTATAAGTAATATTGCGTAATTAACTTTGAACCATTGTGTATTTAACTCAAATCATTGTGTATTTAACTCTGAATTTTGCAACAGTAGGTTCTGTTCTTAACCATAGGTCGTCCTTAAACCGGGCATTTTTAACACGGGGATTACCTGTATACTGTCAATTCTTGACCTAAACTGTACTGTTTTGTAACCCCTACTTAGCTGAAGAATGGGATATTTATATGGGATAAAAAATCCATATAATAAGATTTATCATGTACACCTGATACATGTCAACCTTCTAACAATTATTGAGTGGGTATTGTCTTATAGCATTAACATACATTTCTACACTGTGATGACCATACCTCTTTTTTCTTTTTGCTGCCAGTTTTCTGCAGTGTTTGGCTATCTAGTAGGACTCTTTGAGTTTCAGAAAGACAGTCACTGTTAGGACTGAGGCCTTTCTCAGTAGTCTATCCGGAAGGGCTAAGCCAGTCTAGATGCATCTGTGTTGTCAAACATATGTAGCCATATACCGTA